CTGGATGACATACACTTCAGCCTGCTGTATCTCACAGTGGTCATCTGAGGTAGTTCAGCTGGGTGAGATACACTTCAGCCTGCTGCATCTCACAGTGGTCATCTGAGGTAGTTTAGCTGGATGACATACATTCCAGCCTGCTGTATCTCACAGTGGCCATCTGAGGTAGTTCAGCTGGGTGAGATACACTCCAGCCTGCTGTATCTCACAGTGGTCATCTGAGGTAGTTCAGTTGGGTGACATACACTTCAGCCTGCTGTATCTTACAGGGGTCATCTGAGTGGTAGTTCAGCTGGGTGAGATACACTTCAGCCTGCTGTATCTCACAGTGGCCATCTGAGGTAGTTCAGCTGGTGAGATACACTCCAGCCTGCTGTAGCCATCTGACTGGATTCAGGGTGAGATACACTTCAGCCTGCTGTATCTTACAGGGGTCATCTGAGGTAGTTCAGCTGGGTGAGATACACTTCAGCCTGCTGTATCTCACAGTGGCCATCTGAGGTAGTTCAGCTGAGTGAGATACACTTCAGCCTGCTGTATCTCACAGGGGTCATCTGAGGTAGTTCAGCTAGGTGAGATACACTTCAGCCTGCTGTATCTCACAAGGGACATCTGAGGTAGTTCAGCTGGGTGAGATACACTTCAGCCTGCTGCATCTCACAGTGAGCCATCTGAGGTAGTTCTGTTGGGTGAGATACACTTCAGCCTGCTGTATCTCACAGCGGGACATCAGAGGTAGTTCTGTTGGGTTAGATACACTCCAGCCTGCTCTATCTCACAGTGGCCATCTGAGGTAGTTCAGCTGGGTGAGATACACTACCCAGCCTGCTGTATCTCACAGTGGACATCTGAGGTAGTTCAGCTGGGTGAGATACACTTCAGCCTGCTGTATCTCACATTGGTCATCTGAGGTAGTTCAGCTGGGTGAGATACACTTCAGCCTGCTATATCTTACAGAGGCCATCTGACTAGTTCAGCTGGGTGAGATACACTTCAGCCTGCTGTATCTTACAGGGGTCATCTGAGGTAGTTCAGCTGGGTGAGATACACTTCAGCCTGCTGTATCTCACAGTGGTCATCTGAGGTAGTTTAGCTGGATGACATACATTCCAGCCTGCTGTATCTCACAGTGGACATCTGAGGTAGTTCAGCTGGGTGAGATACACTTCAGCCTGCTGTATCTCACAGTGGTCATCTGAGGTAGTTCAGCTGGGTGAGATACACTTCAGCCTGCTGTATCTCACAGTGGTCATCTGAGGTAGTTCAGTTGGGTGAGATACACTTCAGCCTGCTGTATCTCACAGTGGTCATCTGAGGTAGTTCAGCTGGGTGAGATACACTTCAGCCTGCTGTATCTCACAGTGGACATCTGAGGTAGTTCAGCTGGGTGAGATACACTTCAGCCTGCTGTATCTCACATTGGTCATCTGAGGTAGTTCAGCTGGGTGAGATACACTTCAGCCTGCTGTATCTCACAGGTGGGTGAGATACACTCCAGCCTGCTGTATCTCTTCTGAGGACAGCTGTATCTCTTGGGACAGGTGTTCTGTTGGGAGGTATTACAATTGAAACAGGTTGTATCTCATGGGTGTCACTACCAACCTCCTTGGCAAGGGTGTTGCTGTCTACAGGTGTGAAGGCCTCCATTTTGACACTTAAGGTAAAAGTTCATAAACCTGTTCCAAGCTCAGTAGTTTGGATTTTTAAGCAAGGTAACTGTGTGTAGGGAAACCAGATCCTTATATTCCTGAGATTTGGCTTACAAGCAAATAATGTGAACAAAATCCAAGTTTGATAGGGTTACCTCTTTAGATTGATCAGAAAAGTATTGACCAACATTCTGGAACTGTATCTGAGTAGCATATGTGCATAGATATCTGATGTGTTGCAACTAAATCCACATGGTTGGGGGTTTGTTGATCAGCCAGGTAACGGATGACCATGGGCCGTGATAGATCCATGTGTTATCGGGAGAAGGAGAAGATCTTTGTTGATTGACACCATTATGTGTTAAGACGGTGACAGACTGACTGGCATGTTTGTGTTGACTGTAGATGTGTGTGTGGCACCATTCGTCCCAGCTCCTTTCACGTGGACCATTCTGACTGTCGCGGAGCGATGCTGGAGGAGGTGTCCAATGAAACCAACATCATCAGCATGTTTGTGGAATAGACCCACAGCTATTATTAAATACTGATGCTCTTGCACGGATTTAGCTACCATTCAATACTAGTGTTTTCTACACAAATACCCCACAAGCTTGGCCACGGTGTATCCCACAGTATGCACAAACTGGTTGTTGGAAAGCTCAATTTTGCTTGGTGTTTTATTGTGAGGCTGCCCGGGGGTCTGATTCTAAATCTCCCATGGTGGAGGGGTGGGATTGCGTCAGAGCTGTGGGCTGTTTCAGAGGAGCGGTTGAATCCCACTGACTGCAATGTGTAAATACAATTGATTAGGAAGACTCTTTTCATATCTCCTGGGAGGCTGGCTTTGTAAATATTAGCTCTCTCCACTAAAACAGATTTCATGATCTGTCCCAAGGGGTAGGGTTTTTGTCGGGGGAAGAGGCCCCACCAGCTTTAAGTAGCAAGAATATTATTCTGCATTCTTTGTTCCTGTCAGCGTGGTAATGCACATGCTCCAGAGTCTATACACATCTACGTGACCAAGGTGGACCCGGCACCAATTTGCATCATCCAAAGTTTTTTCACGTGTCGACAAGGGAGCATTTAGAACCGTTATTACAGTACCAGTTGTGAGTGTGGCATAATCTCTGGTAGAAGTAAGCCTTGCATCGTGCTCGCCATTGATTTCTCTGCCCATCTCTTCAGAGCTCATGCTTGACTTACATCACAAATCACATTTAGATGCTGTAGATGGGCAATATGTTTGCCATAATTACACTTGTATAGGAGTCAATGGTGTGTGACACATTCGGAGGTGAACTCCCCTTGTGTTGCGAACAACACAGGCCTCTAAATGATCATTCTCCTGGTGCTTCTACTCGTTGAGCCAGCCTGCTTGATGCACACAGCGCCGAGTCGGGAGTTGAATGTGCCAATATGTGCCTCTCAGTTTGATGAATGTTTGCTGTGGAACCAATGGTCACTGGACCAGTGTTTGCTCTGGAAATTATTCACTGACCTTGGTGTGATTGGCTACATCCAGTGACATACACATACGTTCAGGATTAGATCGTTGTCACACGGGACACAGGTTTTGTTTGTACCCGTGGAGTTCTCAATTGCTGTTGACCCAACAAATTCAGTGATCATTAAACTTGAAGAAACACTGGACTTTGCCAATCAGATTGTCTACCTTCAGGGAACCATTATGTTTCCAATATTTGCCCTTTTGTCACACCCCTAAATTCCTGCTGCAAGGATCAGGGTTAGAATAGGCCCTAACAACCAGTCATAGTACATTGAGTGTTCATAACATCAACCCCTGTTTTATGTCCAGGCATAATTATTTGCAGACCCTGTCATACAGCCAGATTATTGCAGAGTGAGCTATTAACGAAACAAAATGTACTTCTTGAAAAGGCAGGAGACTTTTATGGCATAACAGAGATCGTATGTTTGATAAAAGTCCTAATAAACATTTTCTGGATTTTTTAATGTTGGCTTATTTCAATTAATGTTCTGGACCAACTTATCACTGGTTTGAACTGAGTAAACCAGATCTGATGCCACAGGTTGCAGCACGGAGTGTGCATTGAGCTTCTCCATCAACTGTGAGGCAGGTGGACTGATACTCCATAATCTGCTGGAATGTAACTATCATTTCATGTATCCAAGTGATTTAAATAGACCCAACAGAAGTAGGCCCCTACCTTCAGATTTGAATAATTGGAAGCAGATACGACAGTTTCCTACATCGCAGATGTTGGACAAAATGTTTACGATTTATGATTGGGGAAGAAGTTCATGGAGATTTCTGGGTCCTGATTGATCAAGGGATAAGGGTAGAGACATTTATTGTTATGTAAACCCAATTAGAGTGTCGGAAGTCAATAACATGAAATAATTCATTAAACTTTGATGTCTGTTTCTTCAAAGAACCTATTATTCAAAATCGTTGTGTGATATGCTTGTCAGTTTAGTTCATGAGGAAATCGTGTTTTCTTTTCATAAGTTAGGAACACTCTTTAGAAATAATAATTAATAGACATTACTTGACTTGCTTTGGTGTTGCATTTCATCCACGGTTTGAAATAATATTAACTCTTAATCAGTGATTGGAACCAGTGCAGCCAAAACCAGTTTTGTCTAATATTGAAAACGGGTTGAAAGCTAATTATTTTGATGTTTTCTTATGTTATTAGTATTTGGATTATATTAATTCTACCCCTATTTATTAAGAGATTGATTGTATGAGGTGAGAGTGCCCTTTCCAATCTGCTGGTCAGCCAACAGGATATGCCACGGACAGCCACCAGCATACCATTGTTGGTTCCTGTCCATGTTGCTAGTGGTAGAAGGATCGCTTGATGTGTATTTTGTTTGAAATGAGATTATTAAATGCTCGGAGACCCACTAGCTGGGAGATGCCTTTGATGTAGGCTGAGGCCCAGGTGATCAGGTAACCTTTTGATTTCAAGCCATAACCCTAGTTCGCCTTAATTGGAACGGTAATTTTGTAGAGTCATCTCGTAATCAAGTTACAGCGTCAATTAAGGATTATAACCCTAACGGAAAAGAGCACGATTCAATGCTAGCTTCCCGCTTTCTGGCCTCTGCTTTTGATCTCGCTTGAGATAGCCGTGCAATGTCTCTGTGATGTCATACGCAAATTACCCATATAGTTTGCATGCAGACAGCTTCCAAATGAAAGAAAAATTGCTCTCTTCTACAAATTAATTAGACAGTATTATTTCAACTTAGGCCATTTAGTGTGCACAAAAAGGCTTTCATGTACATTGTATTCATCACGATGGTATTTAAGTTTTGCGTTTGATGTTGGCTAATTTGTGGTGTTGCTGTTGTATTTTGCAGGGCTGTAGCAAAATAGGAATGGTGCAGCCTCCGTACCCGTACTTCGGCTCGCCACCACCCGCACACATGGGCATACCGCCCGTCCACACGGACCCCAAAACAGGTAACCTCTTGTCCTCGTACATCACATCACAGTCGGAATATGCATTTTTTTTCCCCCTCTGTGGAAATATTTGTAGACATTGTTGTTCATAGAGGTTAGGTAATTTGTTTTGCAGGAGTCTTCAAATGAATTAACGTATTTTCATCATTCTCCTGTTGTGAGATAATTATCTTTCAAACTTTCATGTGATGTTATTTGATGCTGGTTTGGTGGAAATGAAAGTTCTATGGATATTTAACTTAGCTTTGTGATTAAATTTGATTCGTCTTCAAAGACTGTGTTGTAGTATGCTCTTATCGACCAATAGTGATGTACCTGAAGTCCGAGATCTACAATGTGATTGGCTGATACTCTTCCCGGACGTCTTCCTGACAGTCGTCCCGGGGGCATATATCAAGGGTTTTATCGGGATAGCTAAGCACCATCTTTTCAACACCCAAGGGCATTGTTGAAATTTGTATCATTCTGTTGAAAACATATTTCATCATTAGGTTCCTCTTCACCTTTCAGGGTTGCCACGACCACCAATGTACGCGACATATCCCGCACCTCCGGGGCAGTTTCCTCATCACCTTTACCCAGAGTTCTCGCAAGTGCAATGGTAAGTCGACTGAATGATCGTCTTAAAGTATTTTTAATCCCTTAATTTTGCTTTTAGCTTCAAAAACTGATTACATTTCGAGAAAAATGAGTTCCCGCTCCAATGTCTTTGTTTATGTCTACAATATTTGTGTCTAGGTGATGTACACTATGCGTATCTTAGATTAGTTTCTTCGCGTGATGGGTGTCGCATTTTTACAGTACAGTTTACCATTTTGGGAATTAATAGTCATTTTGGTAGGTCATAGAAATGCAAAGTTTATGGATTACAACATTCTCTCATTTTTCTCATTTCAAGCCATGTTATTGCTCCTGCGTTAGTGATCGTAAAGATTTGCTTTCTTTATGTTCTTCAAGAAGAGTTGTATTCAGTGACTTGCTGTTTTCAGGGGTTGTTTGCTTATAAGTCCTACCAGCTGAATGAGAATGAGCCGATATACTGTTGTACATACATTTTCTTGCTGTCAATAGTTTTATGCAATGACCATGGTGTAATGGGATTTAAATAGGATTTAATTTAATGAGTGTTAATTTCATTGGATTTAAAATAATTATTAAGCTTGATAATGTTCCTGTAAAGATAAGGGAGACAAGTTTTATCCTCATTAGAACATGGACCTGTAAGTTTTTGAACCCTCAAACAAATAAACTTCTTAAATTTCCTGCATTTGCTGTAATTTATTTGTGATATATTATTTTTACTTTTACTGGTTACCGTTTTGTTTCTAAGTGTATATTCTTTCATGGTTTACTGATCACAAGGAACCTAAGAATTAATTAAGATTTACAAATTTGTGAAATGTCAGGGTTCTAAAATGGGGAAAATTGAAAAATGTGCGTGATGTTTTTCTTCTTCTTCTTCTCATCTCCTGAAGTATATGAACCAGGAGAATTGAGTTTTTGAATTTTTAATAAGAAAGTGTGTTTAAATCAAGTGAAGTTAAAAAGCAACTAAATCCCCATTGAACAACATACTTGTAATAATTATGGGATGATAATATTGACAGACACTGGATTGTAGGATAGGCGGACAGGTGGGGAGGGACATTAATGTCACGGGAAGTGACCATAAACTGGTCAGCCCCGAGACTGTGGCACACTCCGACATTACACACAGCACTTGATCGCATTTATTGTACAATTTTCACTGTCGTATAAGTGTCACGCCAAACTGAAAGGCAAATTGGGCCTCACAAATTTGATGTTGTTATGAAATTATCGGGCAACATTGATACGATAGTGGTGACACTCCGACAGCGTTTGGGAAAGGTCCGAGTCAGGTCGTCACTGAGCCCGGGTCTATTACTGTTATGGAAGTATGCCGTGTACAATGACGCGAGGTGACAACCACCTATCTTTGTGTCACCCATACTCTAGGCTGGCTCACAACATAGGCCGCCTCGGTCGTCACTGACGCTAATCGTAGGGGAAGCTACAATTTATTAGTAACAAAATTAACAGCCTCCACCTGTTTTTATTCTGAGCATTTAAATATGGACATAATAAGGCGAAATGCGAGGATGAAGTGTTGTTAGGCAGAGCTATTAAAAGAGAGCTTTCGTCTGGTAATTCTAGTTGTAGCCCGAAAACTGCTCGCCCTGCTGTACAGATTGTCAAAGATTTGCCACGTTTTATTGTCTTGTGTTCTTTTCTGCCACATTGCTTGAATAAAATTGGGATTGACAACTAGAAGTTGCTTATTATTTTCAATTTAAGGCTTATTGTAAATCGCAGACAGCTCTCAGACAAATTGGTACCCATTTGGTTTTGTCGCATTCCAAATTGGAAGTGTGCTTTTTGCTGTCTTATCAAGCTGCCAAAGGAAAAAGCATGGCTGGCCGGTCGGCATTAATGACAGGGACAACCATTTTGCAATAAGAATAGTATGTCCAACATATGGGCTCCATTCCTTGTCAATTATGAAGTTAGCGTAAGTGCGGGTCATGGCTTTGCGTACCCATACAACCCCGGCATGGATCGCAGCAAATGAAAAGATAAATAGAATGTAAAATTGTGAGACTTGTGTCATCTGTTGAGTCGGGGCCCGTTGTCCGGGGCGGTATGCTCGTAACCGTGTTGGCCCTCCGAATCTGGTACACATAAACACACGCCAAATGGCTTCTTTCTTGACTTGGAAAAATGTTCAGCAACACCTGACATACTTGGTCCAATAATAGCGCTAGAGCTTGCCCAGTTTTCTTTTCCATGTTACGTTGATTGTCACAAGGGCTTTTGACTTGTATGATCTGTACATGATGTTGGGGTGGTGTAACATGTGAACATACACACTCATGCATGCCACGTCGAAGGATGTTAGGACTTGTGTTGAGGACAAGAGACATCCCCTAATCATGCTCTCTGTCAGTCAGTGTCATTCTGGTATCAGGGCTTGAGGAAACGTTCTCAACAGCCCTGGTTATCACCTCCGACTAGGAAGACATTAATCCGCCATCAACACAAACAACTATCATGTGTCGGTTGAGGGGTTCATAAATACACTGGACATTGTTCTGCTCTCAATTTTCAGTTTTTATTGAAAAGATTATTTTTAAGATGCTTGGGTTTGGGTAGTGATGAAAGATGTTTTTATTTTACCTGTGATGTTGTTCAACAGGAATAGGACGCAAAATGTTTTATGCTCCAGTACTGATTATAATTTAAAATTATAAGCCTTAATTTATTTATTGGTTGGTGGTATATGTAAATTTGTCTGTTGTTTCAGGAGTTGGTAGAAATTTGTGATAGGGGTAAGGTACTAACATTAGCTCCCTTACAGGAAAGTTTACTCAGAATGGAAAAAAATGTCAATAAAGTAAGCACAGAGTATATCTAATCTCTTTGACAAGTAAAAAATATGATTTTGAAAACTTGTTAATGAATTAATTTGAAAATGACTTATCTTCTTTAATGACGTATCTTCAATCAGTCAAATAGAAACATTGTTTGATATTCTACAAGATCTATCACATCTGGGTCCTGTTAGATAAAGGCACATGTCAATATGTTAATGTCTCAAATTAAATGTGCCATTCCATAAAACTGTACAGTGAAATTTTGTCAAATTGATGTGTTGACATTTTGTGAGAGACGGAAAAAATCAAACGTTATAAAACATTTTCTGTTTATGTCTTAAGAGTAGAGGTTAAAGTAGAATAATGGCCTCGACAGAAAGCCTGTGTCTTGTGAGTCTTAAGGGGTCTCTCCTCAATCCTTTTGACTCATAGTGAAGCAAGGCAAGCCACCAAGGCAAGCCACTAAGGCAAGCCAGGCAGACATGCCAGTATTATCATTTCTACCCAGTTTATTTGACATTTTTATAGAGGCATAGCTCATGTTTAAGTCACATGGGGAAGACCAGTGTCAATATCTGAGAAATGAATATGGAGTTACTCAGTGTTCCTGTTTAATTGTGTTTGACTTACAACCCATGATGCTGAAATATTTATAAATCCTGGTTCTTATGTACAAGTGTTGCTGTCTGTGAATTTGGTTACACACCCATGTGTTTTTCGTCATATGATACAGTTCTGAAATGTCCTGCAGGTGTATCACCAGGTTGCGGCTGTAAACGAGAAATTTCACTCTGAACAACTTACTGGTTTTATGCTGTAATTAAATTTTTAAATTGTAGCTGATTTTTAGGAGGGAGTTATTGTTGGGTTCTTATATCCATTGTCAAATAACAGGTGAATTAAATTGAAATTAGAATGCAGCGGGAGTGTAACGGATAACTGTCCTTCCTATTTTAGTTTTGTCGGTCTCTTATCTCTAGTTTTTATTCCACAAATCCATTAAAAAAATTGGAGCAAGTTTTATTCTTTATCATTGCATAAAATATTAATAAAATTATTTTATTTGATCAGTTTGTTACAACAATCAAAATGATGAGTTCATGTATATAATTTTATTATGATTAGACAAAAGTTTGATTGTTTTTGGAAGACTGAGTAAAAATATATGGTATTGATTGTTAGCATATTAAATGCATTTACTTGAAGTTGAGTATTGCGTTGAACTTGTAATGTAATGTTCCAAAACAAACTTTTGAAGTACCTGATAGGGATATTCATATGGACATGTACTCGCAGTTTGCCCTTGGCGGTGTTCACCAGCTATCTCTGTTTCAAACCACAATGGTGGTCCTGATACCACTTTGTAACCCTGAAATGCTGTCGTAAATCAGATGTTGAAATTTGTTTCTGAAAGTTTGAAAGACTGAATTAATTAGAAATATACGCCTGTAGATTGTGGCAATTCAAGAGGCTTTGTATTTCATAAACCCTGTCCAGTAGGATTAAATAAAAAAAATATCTTGTCATGGGATAGCTCTTTTAACAGTCCAGGATAGCCCTTTTGTATAAGAGTCATCTGATGATAAAATCAGGAATATAATTTTTGGCATAAGGTGATTATTGTCCTTTGCAATGTTGAGAACATGAAATTATTCCAACCGACAATTTTTCCAATATTCTGTGACAAGCATGGTATTCTTAAGGCGACATTGCGAGCTGGCTGACAATACTTCAACCATCATTTTGGCAGCAGACAGCAGGAGATCAAATTTCTTCAGGCTTTGTTAAGAATTAGAAATTATTCAAACTAACAATATCGCTTTTATTATTCAGGCATCGGCCAGCAGGGTACCCAATCTCTTCAGGCGGATTCTCAGGCTCTTATCCACCTTTAATCAACTCAATATCACGGCTGGGACCCCCAGGGATCCTGCCGCACCCCGGTCTGCCTCACCCTGGCATGCCACCCCACCCGATCATGAGTCCGGGACCAAAACAGGAGATGATGGGGGCACAAACGATGGGCGTTGACAATCACAGGTTGGTATGGTAAATGAAATGGGATTATTTGAATATTCCAACAACAAAAATTCATTAAATTTCATTATTATTTTCAAATGAAGAAATGGTTTTCGTTTGGAAATAAATCAATGTATATCAAATGAGAGGCAAATTTAGTTTGCTGTCTTAGTTTGATTTGGGGGAGGGGGGAAGATATATTTTGGTTGTGAATAGTTTTGTGCAAAGTAGATGCATTCATTTTTACTAGGGCCCACTTTCACAAAGATATTGTAATGCTACGACTGGTGTAAGTTCACCAATTGTTACAATAGTCGTAAAACTAATATAGCTTTGTGCAGGTGGGCCTTGATGATCATGGTTACATACCGAATGAGAATGTGGGGGAAAATAATTAAAATTTGGGTTCGAGTGCATGAAATCTGTGTCTCGTGATTTTAATATGTTCTGGGGAAGGAATCATTTGGTACCTAATATTCAATAAAAATTTCCAGAAGATGTAGCGATATGAGGGAGCATCTGAAGCGAGAGAGTCTGATACATCTGTAGGGAGCACCAAGTACTGCATTGAGTGCTGCGTTTAACACCTCGTTAAACCTACTTTATTGCATCATCGTCGTTAATGCCTTCCCCAGACCGACAAACTCTCAGCTTACTAGAGAACCTACTGAGCTAACCGCCATGCATTCCACAGATTGTCTTGTTGATAAGATTGTCATGGGGGGGATATTAAATTGTTTATAAACATTTGAACATGTATGGCAGTTTTATGTTTTAAGGAAACGTAAAGAATCTGAAATGTTCACAACAGTTCTGAAGTTTATGAAGTGGGGTGTCTTTTTGTTGCATTTTTCGACCAGATTGGTATTTTGAAATGAATGATGGTTAAAAATGAGAAATGGGTTTAATTTCTTAGTTTTAGCTGAGGTTTCTGGTGAGTATGACATAGCTGTTGACACTTCATCAGGAGAGGTCCAGGGCAGAGGATATTGCAATAAGCAATGCTTGTCGTAACAGAAAACTAACTGGGGATTGGAAGGCCAGCAACAGCAGAGATATATGAATGTCACTGCTTCCATGAGTGGAGGTGTTGTCACCTGGTTTGTCTGTACCAGGATCAGAACCTGAGCAGACTACCGCAGCAGATCCTGCTGACTGCTGTTGCAGCCCTCCATCCACAGTGCTACCGATGTCGAAGGTGATAGTTGAGATTGATCCCGGACCCCTGCGAAAGTTTTACATGTAGCTTGCGTCTCTTTTCAGGCATGGCAATATTCCAGATTCGGCCAATAGTTGCCAGAACAACCCCAATCCGGAACCAGAGAAGAAAAAGCCACATATAAAGAAACCGTTAAATGCATTTATGTTATTTATGAAAGAAATGAGACCCAAAGTTATAGCTGAGTGCACGCTTAGAGAATCGGCAGCTATTAACCAGATATTAGGCCGAAGGGTAGGTCCACGTTGGTTCCCGTCGCTGCTATGTTTTGGCAAATTGAACATGAAAGCCTTGACTCCCAGCCTGATTAGATAAGCCACATGTAACTCTTTACTGACACCAACCGACCAACCACCAGGGATCTGAGTGTTAAGTCCATGGTTTTCTTGTCATTTTTCAGGCCCACGTTAAGTTCGAACCCTGGTGAGGAGAGTTCTGGCAGTAATAGCCGAAGTGGGGAAAATACCCAGAAGAAAAAGCCCTATGTTAAGAAACCTCTAAATGCGTTCATGTTGTATATGAAAGAAATGCGAGCAAAGGTTATCGCAGACTGTACGCTGAAAGAATCGGCAGCTATTAATCAGATATTAGGGAAGAAGGTGAGTTGAGCTCCGCGCTAACTTCTTCAGACCAGTACACAAGACAAGACCTAGTATTTCTCACTCTCTTCCTTCTACGAATAGGCTCTTCGTAAACGTCTCTCAGGCTTAAGTAGGGAGGCCCTTGCTGTCTGTATGTTCAGTTTGGCATCTCATAGTACATGTCACCATGTTTCCAGTTGTGTTCTATACTAACATCAGTTCGTGTCAGCTTTTATAAACAATCGTTCAGTTTGTTGAAAAGCTTTCTGGTTTATTGAATATGACTTTACTGAATTACTAATCCATTTTGAGCTTAACATTAAAATCTGTTTATTATATTCAGTAAGACATATCTGACATTCAAAACAGATCATGTATTACACGTTTTTTAATGTTCATCTTCTATTTGTTGTTGCTAAATTACATATTGCATTAAAAAGTGTGTGTAATAGCTGTCGAAGTGAAACTGAAAGAATCCAACATGGTAATGAAATGAGTTCAGAAATAGCTGGGCAGGTTTTGTTATAAGGTTTACGTGGTGGATGTTTGAATGTGGACTGTGGTCTGTTCCAGTGGCATGCGTTAGACCGGGGTGAACAGTCCAAATACTACGACATGGCACGGAAAGAGAAGGAACTTCATCTGCAGCTGTACCCGGGGTGGTCAGCCAGAGATAATTACGCGTCACATGCTAAGAAAAAGAAAAGGAAAAAAGACGGCCCTGGTGAAAATAAAGGTAATACTCATTGATGTTGATTGTAGGGAACATTGCAGGGGTGGAAATAACCCATTGCCCGATGTCCGAGTCCAGTGTTTTTTTCTGTCGGGCAAGCAAATTTGTATATCACACTGTACCAATGTCCAGTTGACTTTCCAATGTTAATTATGTTGTTTATTTAAAAAATTCAACAAGAAAATGGCCAGTATAGTGGAACATTTTTCAGGGGAAGTGATTTCACATGTGCCACTGTACCGGAGTACACAAGCAATTTTAAAGTTATTTCCACCCCTGAACATTGCAGGGAGTTGTTCTTGTCTTGGAGGGGCTGTGGGGTAGCCTAGTGGTTAAACCGTTCGCTCGTCACGCCTAAGACTTGGCTTCGATTCTCCAAATGGGTACAATGTGTGAAGCCCATTTCTGGAGTCCCCCGCCGTGATATTGCTGGAATATTGCTAAAACTAAAGCGGCGTAAAACCATGCTCACTCACTCACGTCTTGGAGGGGATGGTTGGTTAGCCTTGAGGGTAATGTGGTTGCTCATCTGTCTGGGTTTGATTCCACGAGTGGAGACCATTACTGTGTTCAGTATGGTGATTTTGATGGAAATATTGGTGAAAGCAGTGTAAATTCCAACTTTGTCTCTCACAGATTCAGTGCTTGCATGATGCTGTCTCGTGTCTGGGACTGTTTAATTCTTTACCCTATGTACTGGGGCTATCTACTGCATGTAGAGCTTTGTATTGGTTGTAATATGTAGGGAATACTACATGCTCAATGTTTGTGATGTAATCATAGCAAATCTGGTTCTGGACATGGGGCGGTGGGGTAGCCTAATGGTTAAAGCATTGGCTCGTCACGCCGAAGACCCGGGTTTGAATCCCCACATGAGCACAATGTGTGAAGCCCATTTCTGGTGTCCCCTGCCGAATATTGCTGAAAGCAGCGTAAAACCAAACTCGCTCGCTCGTTGGCTCTTCTGACTGAATCCCCGAGTTCCCACAAGGGTACAATGTGTGAAGCCCATTTCTGGTGTCCCCTGCCGTGATGTTGCTGGAATATTGCTGAAAGCGGCGTAAAACCAAACTCAGGCAGTCAGTCAGTTTCTGCACATACTGTTGCATTTTCAGCTTAGCACCGTATAAGGGTTGTACTGGGCCCCGTTTCACAAAGCTATTGTAACGCTATGACTGTCGTAACTCCTATCCTGGGCCTAGATTTTCGAAGCTCTCTTAGCGCTAAGATAGTCGTAAGTTAATGTTAATGTATGGCACTTACGACTATCTTAGCTCTAAGAGAGCTTCGAAAATCTAGGCACTGTAACATAGACTTACGACAGTCGTAGCGTTACAATAGCTTTGTGAAACAAGGCCCTGGTTAAGTGTTTGGTTTGATCTCTGATCGTTTCAATTTGGTCTCGAAATTGATCAAGTCCATAGTTAAGGGATAAAATTTTGCTGCTTGAAATAACGGATTATTGAAAAAAGGTATGTCTGGTTACCACAGATGTGACTGAAGATGGTCACTTTTATTTGTAACTGAGTAGTAATAGATAGGAATTGATAGAGTTGGAAGGGAGGGAAATTTGGACAAACGTAACAGGTCGTTTCCTAGTTAAAATGCGGCCTGTCCTGTTAGCTGAGTGTTATAATATTCTGATGAGGAGTAGGAGTGCCCTGTGTTTAGGTCATATGCTAACTAGCGGGGCAGTCAGAGTTGGGAGTGAGAGGGCAGAAAAATAGCCATGTGGACGGAAAAAGATGAACTCCCTTGGCTCGGTGGGTATTCTATATTTTTGAGCAAATGAACATGTTAGTGGATTTCTTACGATTGGCAAGTCAAGTTATTGGCTATGTTTCATCATGTAGAAAGTTAAATTAAAGAGAGTAATGGAAACCCTGCTATAGATTTGTTCCGTAAGTCGTGCTGATGAACAATAGTGGCAGTGATATGAGCGGGGGCTGCAGTACTCCTACAGCGAGAGGCTGAGCGTGTGGAAGCACCGGTGCTAGTCCAACTTGCTGCCGATATTGATTAGCATGGGGGTTAATGCGGATTAAAATACCGAAAAAATACAATTACACTCTCACAGTTTCCAGTATGGGAAATCATTACCCTAACTTGTGAAATTGCTGGATTCTGGAGTGAGACTGATAATTTGGTGGAAACTGCATGTGTGATGGGGAGAGTGTTTAGGTGGGTTATGTGCATGATGAAACCGTAAATCAGCCCTTGTCACAAGTACATCTCTCGTCAAGGCTTACCCGTCCTGTGCCTCGTGCCCCTCGTACACTCTCATGCGTGTCTTGGATTTCGGGGAAGGTGTCTTCAGACTTAGCTCCATCTCTCTGGCTACTCCTTTTTTCTGTTAATTTGGGAAAAAAATTGGAAATCAATATTTGAACATGTCCCCTGGTTTGAAGCAGTGAGAACTAGTTAGCAGGAGCTGTGCCCAGTGCTGTATGGTCTCTTTGCCTATCTGATTATTTGGTCGTCGCTTTTTCCGCGGTGACACCCAAGAAGTGGATTGTGTAGGTTTAACTTAATTTAGTGAAATGATAATAACAAGATGAACAGCGAAATAAGGCAATTAAATGATTTCAGGTCATTATCTGTTTGAGAAAAAGTTGCAAAGCGCAGTTGGCCGCGGTTTGAATTGACATGTTATCTTAGGCACTGCAGTTTATGTTTCAGAATGTACACACGCGAAGAAGTGCCGCGCACGGTTCGGGATGGAACAACAGACTCAGTGGTGCAAGCCCTGCAGGTGAGTGTATCTGCCTAGCTTCCTCAGGCACTAGTGGCTAATGCAGAAAAGTTGTAGTTAGCCGCCCATCGCCACCAGCAGTTGTTGCCTCAACCTCACAGGCAGGCTGCGACTGCCGTTGTTAGCCACCTTTCTCCCAGCGGACAGGCTGTAGGCTTGATGTAGGAGGTGAAACTACAGCAGACACTTGATTCGGAAGAGTTACGTTTGGTCAGACTGTCCATGCCCAAGTGATCTTGTCAAGAATGCCCCGAGCTGTCTCTGCAGGACGAGACAGTCTTCTTGTGTCTTCGATGAGTTTGTTCCATGAGGATGGTTATGTAGACCTATACAGGAAGATTCAGCAGAAGTTGGTTCATTCAAAATGTCAGCAGAAATAATGTTTTCCTGAATTTTTTTCCCGTTTTATTTTATTCTATATTTTTTTCCGTTAATTTGCTGCTGAACTTTTCTGCAATGGCCATGTTGTCTCGTTTCAGATCGATGCATGACACAAAGTGTGAACATGACAGTTCCTCTGAATTAGAAACGAAAAAGTCCACCGACGTATAATAGTAAGGTATTCTTGAAACTCTCGATGGAGCATGCTAAACGGCTGCTTGTTGAGTGTTGTGAGCAGCTTGCAGTAGCTTTGCATGAGGCTGTCTGGTGAAGGGCAAGCCTGTCCTGACTGGACCATAGACAGACTGGGGGACGGACTGATCTCGACCAGGACACTGACCACTTGCTTGTATGGAGTGTATACATATATACATACTCACTTTTGTTGCTTGAGCTTGTCTCACTTCTGTACCTTCTGTTGTAGCTGGTGCTACTCATGTAATCCCAGTAACCAGGTTTGTGTGCGCCTGTCAGCAGGGGCATCGATGCCCCCTTTCAAACACTTCCACCTGTCAGCCCTGTTTCTTTTCTTGTCCCTTTCTTCAGTGTAGTCCTTCACATAGTTTCAGATCAGTTCTTTACAGTCTTACTGTAAGCGATTCCTGAGCACCATAGCTCCTTCGTTCTACTTCCCATTTTGTTAATGATAGAGTAGAAAAACGTAGGCACCCTTTTTTGGCACAGGTAATTCTGCATACGCAATTTCTAAATTTGAGACTAAATTGGCCCCCTATGACTTTCTTTTAAAATGGTATATAATATTAACAAAATTGCCGAAAAAGGTCTAGTTCTGCTTGAACAAGTTACTGAACTTGTTACAGTGCATTATGGGTAGCAGCCTTGACCTCCACAGTCCAACCAATGCATGGTGCCCCTGCATGACCACCTGATCTGCCTGACCAATCAGATTTCTTCTCTTGCAGGATGAACGGCCTGTGGCGTGACTGACATTATGCTTGCTTGCAGTAACCATTAACCACATATATTGCTTGCTGTCTTGCCCATATCACCATATGTATTTGTATACCATATAGATGTATCTGTGTCTGTGTACCAAGTGTTTTCGGGGGAAGGGGTTGCGGAGCATGAACTGAGATGAAATTCAAGATGAGCATGTGCTGCAGAAGTCCATTACCAATATATTTTATATTCTGTGGTTTGCATTTTCTTTGGTTTTTGGACTCTCTCAGACCATTGTCCTTCTTTGTCTTGGCACGTGTTAACCATTTGGTCCTTCTCAGCATGTTGCAACATTGTTTTGGCTTCACTATACCAAGCCTTTTGTGCCTTGAGTCTTGGAAATACTTCCTCTTTTTGATATTGTAATTTGCAAGTATATTATATTGGAATTCTCACAATATTAATTTTAGATATATTTTTTATCTGTGAGGTATGAGTCTGTAGATGTTTGTGTGAGGTTTGAGGTTATAGAGCTTCTTTAATGTAATGTACTAGTTAGTAATCTAGTGTGCTGAATAGTATTGCTGTGGTAACTATAACAGACATCTTGCTTGTTGTTACTGCTTTCCATAACATCCGTAGAGCTATAACAGCTTCAATATCCATCTTCATCAAACTATAAGTGGACAATTTGTAACTGTAATTTATTTTCATTTGAAATGATTCCGTAAGTGACGTCAGTGGATGTTTTCTCCTATTTTGATGTCGACATTGGTGACTTAACTGGGATGTGTTTATTTCAGGAGGAAGAAGAGATGTGTTCGTTTCCTGCGTGGGGAGGGGGAAGACGGGGGAACCTCGGATGAAGAATTGGATGACGACTTGTGCAATGACAGTTATGCTGAGTCGGGGAGATCTGGCGTGGACAGTGACTGTAACCTGGAAAGTCCACTGCCAGGCCCTCAAAGTGACAGCTTTCATTTGAAACCCTCGGAGAAGTGCCATAACTCTCGGCACCTGTCCTCACCCTTTGGCCCAGGTAGTGGTGATGCCCTGGATGTAGACCTGGATGACGCGGAGAAAGCTCTTAGCTTTCACGCTGAGTCCAAGCTGTGTATGGATCTCCCACAGACACCACCCTCCGTGCCCACATCCTGACGCCTGGACTGATGGAGGGATGGACGGGCCCACCTGGTGGCGGGGACAGGTGTTTCCTTGCTCCCACAACAGGGCAGCAGCAACAGCAGCAGCAGCAGCAGCTGGGTGTGTGTAGCATAATACAGTCTACGTGAGCTTGTGGATCTTGCAGGAATACACCCGATTGACTGACTCTTTGCCTGATGTGTGACTGTCTGCACCTGATTGGGTGACCGTGCTATTTAGACTGGCTGTGTAAAGGCCGAGTCCAGCAGAGACTCTAGCTGCTACTTGTGATGCTCGGAGAGTGATTATTTTTGTATAGCGTGGATATCACTGAGACCAGATTGTGACATTGCTGGCACTGACCGAGCACTTGATCCCGAACAAACATCTTCATCTGAGTATCGATCAAGTCATTGTGAATGAAGAAGAGTGAGATGGACACTCGATCTGTATGTGCCAGAGTTGTGTGTGCTGAGAGACTGCAGCAAGAGGCTCACACCATCTTAGCATTACTACATAATACATGTGTACCACTGCGAGTGTCGCTGGCTCCCCGACAGGGCGGCCTACTGCAGGCGACAGCCACCATGTGCCTGGACCTAGATTGGTGGTAGCACCACTGGTATGACCAGACTTGTGTATCTCGTATGTTCTATGTGATCTCTGTTTCTAGGTATTGACAAATACTAGTAGTAACTTCAAGTACACTCTAAGTGTCCATTTGTACCACATGGGGGGAGGGGCATGCGCTGCCGTCGCACTGAGTAGGTCTTTGTTTATCATGTGCCGAGGCTGGGGGGAGGTAGTTCAGGGATTGAAGGTCAGGGTCACTTGCTGACCAGTGGCTGTCCAATATGTCCAAGTGTTCAAGTCTCTTCCATCAGTCCCTACTAACCTTACAACAAATCTCTAAGGCTGGTCCCCACTAACCCCAGTCACAAGTTTCTTCCAATGAATCCCACTAACCCTTTTAATAAGTCTATTGCTGGTCCCCACTAACCAATACCACAATTCTCTTCCATCAGTCCCCACTAACCCTTGAGATGAGTCTCTAATGCTGGTCCCCACTAACCCTTGTCACAAGTCTCTTCCATTGAATCCCACGAACCCTAATGCTGAGTCTCTTCTGTTGGTCCCCACGAACCCTAATGCTGAGTCTCTTGTGTTGGTCCCCACGAACCCTAATGCTGAGTCTCTTCTGTTGGTCCCCACAAACCCTAATGGTGAGTCTCTTCTGTTGGTCCCAACGAACCCTAATGATGAGTCTCTAAGGCTGGTCTCCACTTACCCCATTCACAAGTCTCTTCTGTTGAATCTCACAAACCCTTATAATAAGTCTATTGATGGTCCCCACTCGCCCCTACCACAATTCTCTTCCATCAGTCCCTGCTAGACCTTTTGATAAGTCTCTAATTCTGGTCCCCACCAACCCTTAAGATGAGTCTCTAATTTTGGTCCCCACAAACCCTTTTGATATGTCTTTACTTTGGTCCTACTTACCCTAACACAAGTCTCCACTTGCGTTCCCACAAACACATCATCACTGGTCTCCACGAGTGATGTCATTTTACCCCTACCTTAGCCTGCAACTGCCGACCTCAGCCTTATGCATAGTAATCTTGTCACAAGATTGTCCTTATTTGGGTAGCACGCTGGTACATAGAAAATCAAATTGAACTTTGAAATGACACACTGCCATGTTGGATACAGCTTTCATATCTGCCAGCTCGTGTATACAGCTGTCGTATCGGCCAGCTGGGGTATACAGCTGTCATATTTGCCAGCTCGTGTATACATCTGTCATATCTTCCAGCCAGTGTATACAGATTTCATATCTGCCATCTAGTGTATACAGATGTCGTCTCTGCCAGCAAGTGTGTACGGACTGTCTTGGTCTAGATTTGCATAACATTTGCATAATATGCTAAAAGTTGTCATTTCAAAGTGTATGTAACAAAATCAGTCATCGAAATTGTGTTTTCTGACCTTGCTGCCACAGACGTGTGTGACTGTGTGTGTAAAAGTCTCTCTGGTTAGTGTTGCAGTGTGTAGCAACATCATGCACAGCAGTGTGTGCCCGCGGTACCTGCAAACCTGCAGGTATTTATTTTTGTATTTTGAGTCACAAAATTAACTTGAATTAATTCCAAAACATGTGAAAACCATTAGTCTACAGTTACCTCATAGATGGTTGTTTGATATGGGATACGGACCAGCACGCTTCTTGGGTGTGGTCGGTATCGGGAGAGGGGGCGGAAGGGAGGGAAGTTTGCATGTACAGCGACAGGGATCTCTTCTCCTGCAGTTTTTGACAATGTTGATCTGTTCAACTGTAGATACCATATATGTGTATCATAGGTGTATGTATGTATACACAACATTCAAACATTTCCCATTCTTCAGGAAGAGCGTAATTCCAGTACCCTGTGTCACAGAGAGTGAGCCATTGTTTACAGCAGTCATGTGTCTATCTGTTGTCCTCATGAGACCAGGTAGGGTCTCACGCACACTCCTAGAGACCTAGCTATCTCATCACTTTTGTCTCTTTGTCTATCAGTTTTATTCAATTTCTCAACATTTGACCAATTGTGTTATGATTTTTAGAATGTTCCTAGTCGGTTGTTTTAGATTTTACCGATTTGTAAATTTCATACAATGCCAAAGGTTTACGAAGAAATGGCCAAAATGTCTCTACCATTACTATCATGTCCCTGAAGCCAGTCCTGTGGCAGGAATCACAACGGTGTGGTGGAGTGACCGCTGTTACTGTTGTCGCAGTGTACATGCTCGACTTGTCCTTCTCTGCAGTCATTCAGTAAATCGTATGTGCCATGATGCTTGCAGACCTGATAAGAATATAATTTTGATATTTCATTTGTCCCTGCTGACACTAAACCAATGTTTTAAGTGAGTTAAGATAGGCGAACTGTACCACATCAGAAGGCAGAATAACACTACTGTATACTACTAAAACGTTGACCCTTATAAAATGTGAATATATGAATATATGGTGTAGAACTATAACAGCATTTTATTTTTTCTAGCAACAATTGGCATATTTGTGTGCTGTATTAGAATATTTCTGTGCCTTACTCTGAGTGGTATTACAAAAAAGATTGTGTTGTGATCGAAAATGTTATTCAAGATTTAGGTGCCATTTTAAACTTTATTGAAAGAATCCTATTGTGTTCAGACACTGCAAATTACATTTGGTAGAAAGGTTCTATACTGATTTGGATGTAATCCGTCGTCTTTACATGAAATGATCAGGTATTTAAGCTTGATGAATGCCATCTCTTCAGACTGTCACAGGGAATAAGGAATTAAGTATTTTAGTCCTTGGTGAACTGTTGTATGTTTCTACTGTATGAACTATACTATATTCTGCTGTCTGATTGTTACTCTGAGCTGAATAGTGACAAGCCTTCGTTGATTTAGGTCTACGATAGATTGACGGACCACAGTTTACAAATTGTTCGTCTTGTTTTGTGCTTACAAGGCATGGTCATTTTACTATTGTCTGAAGATTTTATTCACAATTTAGCCACCAAGTGGTAATGGACTGACGTTATTACGAACATTTTTTCTTATCCTGAAAGAGATTATTATGACTTTTATTCCAAATCATGATTTAAATAACAGTAGTTTTAAAGTAGTACAAGTACTTTAAAAATGCTTTTGTTTGTTAGATTATGTTTGTTACCTGCACTGATTCAGTAGCAGAGATGAAAAATATGATGTGTAAATGCTTTGGTAAGTTCCCAATTTCCCCTGGTAAATGTAATGTGTTAATCCAGTCATATGAACAAAACGCACTGCCATGCTGTACTGGAGTCTCATGGCCCAAATAGTCAACCATACTTTACTGATTTCTCATGGCCTAAATCTGCCATACTGTGCTGGAGTCTCATGGCCCAAATAGTCAGCCATACTTTACTGATTTGTCATGGCCTAAATCTGCCATACTGTGCTGGAGTCTCATGGCCCATATAGTCAGCCATACTTTACTGATTTGTCATGGCCTAAATCTGCCATACTGTGCTGGAGGCTTAGGACCCTGATAGTCTGCCCTGAAATCTTATTGCCCTTAAAGTTTGCCATACTTTATTTGCATCGATTAGCCCCCCAAATCCTGGCATACTGTGATGGATTCGTGGCGTTAGTTGCCTGAAATTTCTACTTAGAGTCTCAAGGCACCAGTGATCTGCCTTTCCCTACTGGAATCTGTTTTGCCCCACTGTTTTGCCATACTTTATTTGACATCCATGGCCCTACTGACCTTCAACACTTACCTGGAGTCAACTAATGTACGGATATTGTTAATACCACATACAGACATGATTATTTTCTATGGAACACACTTCTTGAACTGTTCAGTCAACTTCAGATGATGGTCAACATGATGGACACAAATACTGTTCCAGCTTCCTTGCATATTGATATTCTGAAATGTGTGGATTGTAGAAACCTCGGTCAGTGTTTCTTCTATCTCTGAGGGTAGTGTTATTGAAAAGTTTCAGAAATTACTGATTTGTCAAAACTAATTTCAAAGAACATCGCGATCAGTATTATTTTCTTATTAAACATCCTTTGTTTTTGTTATTGGCTTGTTATTTCATCACAGCAAATATGTTACTTCAAAGCCTCTTTGCATAAAAGATGCAACATTTTACACATCTGTAATGAGGAAATGATTTAGAAGGCAGTTGTTGTTTGTTCTGTAGCCATTGATTATATTACTGAAGTAAGTACAGTCTGTAATTAGGGAATTCAAGGTTTTAATAGTACGTTCCTTGGGAGTCGGCAACAGGACTGCCCTTGCTTCAAGATTTCATACATTTTGAATTTACCAGTCCTTCTCCAATGGTAGTCCAGTATAGAGAAGTTTGTTAAAATTTAGGTACGAGTCAGAACCCCCATAGTGTAGCTTGATTTCAATTAGTGCTAAGATCATGTGGAATAACAAGCAGATGAGGATCAGTTCTCTGTGTTCTGGATACCTAGCACGACCATTTTAACCTGGCACCGCACAAAGAATGTTGTGTGTCTAGAAAGTGTAAAACAAGTCTTGAAAATTCCTAGTGTGTTTCTGAAGGTTCTAGCATGTCCACAAGGTAATCTCGTTGTAGCATGTACTGAAGGTTCCAGCTTGTCCCAGAAAGTTCAGACATATACTTGAAGGTTCTAGTGTGTTCCCGAAGGTTTTGGCATGTCCTAAGGGTTCTCTCTTTCTAACATGTACTGAAGGTTCCAGCTTGTCCCTGAAAGTTCAGACATGTATTGAAGGTTCTAGTGTGTTCCTGAAGGTTCTGGCATGTTCTTAAGGTTCTGGTCCAGCATGTACTGAAGGTTCTAGCTTGTTGCAGAAGCTTCTTTCATTGTCTGATGAAGGTTCTGGCATCTGACTAGGTTCTAGTGTTCTATCTCACCAGAGTATGTCCTTGTATTAGGTTCCCAGAGGTCTCCAGTATAGCCTGCCCCAGCTTCAGATGCACTCAGCAGTCCCTACCATGGCGGTAGGAGTGCACTGCTTCTAACCCCCGGAATGGATGTTTCTGATGATGCTTACAGGGATGGTGTATATCACCATCCTCCTCCTCCTAGCTGTTGACCCTCGTGTGTGACTGTAAACACTGGCTCCAGGTGTATTCATCTCACAATCATCACTCATTTTATTATCCATTCGTGTATTTATATGTTATCACGTCATTTCTGTAATAAACATCCAGTTGAAACATCATTTCTTTTGTTGTCCGTGCAAAGACGCAGCTGTGATGGTAACGCGACACAAATCGTGTGTGTGTTGTTTTAGCTTCGCGTGTCGTATTAGAATATCGCTTGCCAAAGGGGAAGACAGTCGAGAGATCAACGTGTGAGTCTCCGAGTCAATGGTGTCAGGAAAAAACCCAGATGCGCCATAGGGTATTGATATACAAGTGTTATGTTCATACTCGTTAAAAGATTCCGGCGTGTTAACGATATCTTACACGGCTTAAATTAGATATGAACTAAAGAAATCTATGAATTAAGAAAATTGGAAAATGATACTATGTTTGTGTGATTTATGTATATTTGTGGACGTGTGAAGAGAAGGAACCTGCTAAAAGCGTCCTGTACTCAAGGTGCTTCTAATCCTTCATGCAGCTGAGGTCTTGTCCTTCACTCGCTGTGAAATACACTACTTATGTTTGGCAATAACTATAGATGTTCGACACATCGATGTATTCAGGGGCCGTGGGGTGGCCTAGTGGTTGAGGCGTTGGTTCGTGCGTTGGTTCGTCATACCGAAGCCTGGGTTCGATTCCCCACATGGGTACAGTGTGGATCACGTCTTTGCCCTTCCTGTTTGATGTAGGACGGTGAAGTAGCCTAGTGGTTAAAGCGTTCGCTCGTCACGCTGAAGACTCGGGTTCAATTCTCCACATGGGTGGAATGTGTGAAACCCATTTCTGATGTCCCTCTCCGTGATATTGCTGGAAAATTGCTGAAAGCGGTGTGAAACTATACACTCACTCACTCACTCACTCACTCGTTTGGGCATTTGCAGATTCCGTTGGCGTCTGTAATAAAAATTGTTCCAAAACCACACTGTCGTACACTGAAGTCACCATGGTTATTATTTCTTCTATTAGTCATCCATGCCTATGTTTATGATTTATTATCATTATGGACGATTATTGGTTTGTTGTTTTTTACACCGTACTCCGCACTCCGCAATGTTCCGGCTATATCACGGCGGTCTGTAAATAATCGAATCTTGACCAGACAATCCAGTGACTGACACTATTACCATCGATACGATGACATGCATCAACCAATTCAGCGGGCTTGACCACCCGATCAGGTCAGTCGCCGCGTTCGACAAGCACCCCGATAGTCATGGGTATTATGACGATTATACCCGTGTTATGAGGGTCGTGTCCGGGGTTCGATCCTGCTACCAACGGATATTACCACGATAAAGGAAAACAAGTTTTAGGGCCATCATAAACAATTTGGCCACCCTTGTCCCAAAACCTTTTTAGCCCCGTTGGCAGTCAGAATGAGGAGGCGACTAAATTGATTTGATCCTCTGAGATTTGGTTGATGGCGTATTTTGTTACCCTGACAACACGGGGCTTTGCTCTTAATATCAATCACCGGAATGACTGGCCCAGACTGGATTATTTTCAGGCCGCCGCCATGTAGCTAAAATATTGCACCGTGAGGTATTAAAGAACAAACATTGAGACTTTATGGAAAAGTTTTAAAACATTATCTTTCAAGAAGTAAATTTGCCTCAGATTTCTTACCAAGAATTATGTTTCTCGGTGAAAGGCTAAATGTCCAGGGCCCCGTTTCACAAAGCTCTCGTAAGCCTAAGATCTCGTAGCATTCGTACCTCCTATGTTACAGTATAGGAGGTACGAATGCTACGAGAAAAGTAACGAGGTCTTAGGCTTACGAGAGCTTTGTGAAACGGGCCCCAGGAATATTTTGGATGAAAAATAGAAAATCTTTTCTGAGTGTCTTAGGGTATCGTTGATATCATATATTAGGAATAAAGAATCAGATTCTATTCCGAATATATAATTTCAATAGGACACACTCGGGGGTAATAATATCTTATACAGTGTTTGTTTTATAGTAATTGATATGGTAGATGTAATTTCACTCAATGTAGTAGCTTTGGAAACCTTGTATAAATCGAATTTGTAAGTGAACTGTGTTTGTAGTGCAAAATTACTTACATCAGTGTTTGTCGCCATGTTTTGGTAGCACGTGGGAAGACCTTATCTCAGCGTATTGAAACCGTTAGTCAGTCGTTTATTGAAAAAGGAGAAATTGCATTGATGTATGGAGCTTGAAGGTAATTCCTGCTCAGCGATCTAATTTACATATTTATCGGATCGTGATACCAAGTTTATCGGATCGATAATATTAGCCAATATATGATAATACATGGTTCGGCTCCTTAAAAGTCCTAGTCTTGAAACAGTTATGGAAAAACTACTGTTGTTGTTTTTTAAATTAATTTCTTTTTATTGACAACTCCCACAGCTTCAACAAATTGAGATGTTCGAAATTTTAACTTGCCCTGATCTTATTCCCCAATACGCAGTAGAACAGAAAATTACGAAACGTATCCAGTGCCCGTGTGAAACCAAAGAATCATTCATGTCATATAAATACTGTTTATTATTTCTTTTCCGCGAAACGTTTCTATGCGAGTGCACGTTTCGTTGTAAAATTAATTAATGCTCTGCGTCACGGTATTTAAATAAAATCGCTAGGACCTGCTCTTTTGGTACAACGAGGAAGTAAGCTCATACGGGTTTGGGGGGCTGTCTAGTTGCAATTATGTGTGCGTGTGTTTTCAAGTTTCACTTGAAATTAGAACAGATCGTGTTTTCTACAAAATACGTTTCCTTTGTGTATTTGTGTGGACAATTTATAGGGCGTCCAATCCCTACAACTTCATCGGAAATCAGCTACTATCCATTAGTTCTATTTTACTAAATGTGGGCAAACATTTAGTGTTTACCGGCGTCTTTGAACGACTCGTGGGCGTCCAGGCATCCTAGGCGCCAGAATTCGCAATACAGAGTTGCGTTCCTTGACAGAAACTAGCATAAGAATAGTAATATTGACTGTCTGTTGCGAGTTGATGAAATACAAATAAAACTCAACGATATAATTTTTATCTCAAAAGAATACACTTTCTTCATATGGATGATAAATTTGTAGTGACATCGCAACCATGAATGTCAGTTATTCTATTGTTAGTCCAGCCATTGAAGGTTACAAGGCGTTGTAAACCGCCGACAGCAGCCAACAGATATGGCGCATATGCCTCTGACACTTTTATGTAGGCATAAAAGCCTAATGAGGTTTGCCATTGAGCTGCAATAACGTACGCGACCTGGCTTCACCGGTGTGGCAGTTACTGAGATTGATGCTGTACTTGTAGACGACGAGGACTAGTTTAAGATATGGCAACGGCTTCCAGTTTTATCGTTTAATTTTCACCGTCAATAATGGTAAATAAACAGTTGAATTTTTTATCTTGTTAAACCAGGTTTGAAATTGGAGTCTTCACTTGTAGACTTATGTGGCTGGGGTTAGGTTCGATAGCGAAACGCAAGCCATCGAAAGCTGATGGCATGATCTGGGGCCCTTTTATAATGGGGTTTTCTGGGAAGGATTTGTACAAGCTTAAAGTGACGATATTTTTACACAGCAATTGTAATCATTCCGACGACCGAGTTTCTTCTCGGATAGAAGAATTTCAAAATACCTTCTTATGTGGTGATATTCTCAAAATTGATTTAACATCTGATTGATACATTATTGAATGTAATATATTTTCGTGGTGCGTGGGCAGTTTTTGGGTTTTTTAATCGGTTCAACAAACTACACTTTGTGCATGTCATGTGACCAGAGGTCAAGTTCACTCCATCTTCCGGCTGATTCAGCTATCAACGGAAAGTAGATAATAAACGGTTTCCAGTTTGGTGAAAGCTACAATCATGAACTAAGGTTCATATGCGGAGGGAATTAAGGACTCCCGAACAACGGATCCTGGTGTGGGTAAGAACCAGAACTCTGCACAGCAAGTTGCTTCCAGTGCCCCAGAGTCAATGTGGAACGTCACATCAGCCACATTGCCGACCTATTTAGGTATATATAAGTACATATTGAAGTGTGCAATAACAACAACTTATAAACTGCCCTCACCTCAATACACGTACTGTTCTTTTAAGAAAATCAACATGTGTTAGTTGTTTAACGCAATGTTCCAGCTTTATGAAGGCGGTCTGGACAAGACAATCCAGTGATTGATATCATGAACATGGATCTACGTAACTGGGATACGATGACGTGTCGACTATGTCAGCAAGTCTGAACCCGTTAGGTCGCCTCTAATTGTTGCTGAAGACCAGATCTGAAGAGGATTTTCACGTATAGAAAAAAACATGTCTAATATGTAGAGTATGCACAATTGTGAATATATATGTAAGTGAAGTGATGTGAACTGGGGGATTTAACTTCGTGTTGGAGAATATTTTCTCACACATTTACGTGCAAGCACGTGTTTGTGCGTGCTTGTACCAGTTCGCACTAATGTCGGTTCTATAGTGCTAGCCCACTGAAATACCATGCAACGGTTTATCCAAAACTCTGACACATTATGCCGACTCCGATCCGACCCGTGAAGATCCAGGTTAGAATTGGTCTTCAGCAACCCATGCTTGTCGTAAGAGGCGACTAACGGCGGCGTAAAACATCAAACCAAATTCAATCCGACCAGTCCTTGTTTCATCCAATTAAAGCCAGGCAGGGAAACAACAAGTACCAATCGTTAACGTCTTTTAGTGTGACGTCACCGGGATTCGAACCACCAACCTTCAGCCATAGTTTGTAACCCAATCCCATTTCAAAATATACCGATCTCTTGATAACCTTTTTCGAGCGATGGCCAAGGATTCGTCTGTCCGTATGATGGTGAGATCTGCATCACATGAAGAGCATCTGTTCCTAATATCGAATTAAATACAAACCTGAAATTACTTAAGACGATCATCAGTGTGACCTTGATCTTCATGGTTGCGTGCGGCAGGAGGTGGCATGCTCACCCCCATCGCAAACGCCATGTTTCAAAGCCGCGACTCCGTTTGTTTGTTTTCGTATGATGTAGATAGGAATATGAATTCCCCAGAGGCACTTGCGTGTTCATTCACTCAGCCATCATTAGGGCTA